TGCTTACATTCATTCATTTACTCATTCATTCATTCACATATTCACCTAAGAATATGTTTATTCTTTCACTCATGTGGAATTTCCCTGAGTGCTGCAAATGGTTAAATGTTTGTATACTAATCAAAACACTTAAAGTTCAAGCCCATCCACAGATACCTCAGAAGAAAAGTTTAATGATACACTAAAAAAAAAAAAAAAAGACAAGCAGCAATCATTGAAAACTCTTGGGACACGGGACTGCCGTGACACATGAGAGGTTGTGAGGAGTCAGAACTGACTTCAGAGCATTGGGAATAGATGACCTCAGTAGCCAGCAGACCTAGGTGTCCTCTATTAAAAAAAATCTAAACTTGAGCTGAGACCAACCTCTGTGTGTGGTGTAGTACATCACCTTTATGAGGGAAGAAATTAGCATCTCGATAAAATGCTTAAACATTTTTCTGATTGGTATTAATTAGATTAAAGCCTCTTTAGAGAAACTGCTGGCCCACACGTCTGACTGTCAATGATGAATCTAAAGATACCTATACAGATTTCTTCCTTCTTTTGTAGATATTGTATCAATGGCCGTATAACAACTTCTGTTCAGATTTGTCAAGAGAGAAATCTTCGACTTTGGAGACCTTTGCCCATTTCAAAGCAGTTCTGTAGTAAAACTGACAAGTGTTCATAATTAAATTATCTGACATTTGTTTCAAAAGCTGTAGGAACAGCTGTCACCCTGACCTTCAGCCCATCTGACGGCTCTCTGACAGAAGGACCAATGCTCATGTGGCCCTTGGTTCCTCTGTCACAGTTGTGGAAGTTTCCAAACCTTATGCTGATACTCTTAGTTCAAGTTTTTCAAAGACTACAAGCTGGAACAGATTCATCTGCACTACTTGGGAACTTGTTAGAGACAGACATGGCCAGGTCTCAGACCAAAAGTGCACAATCCAAAACTCTGTGCTTTAATCATCACCGCCCCGCCACCCCGTCACACAGCTCCTACCCTGTGATGCTGATGCACTTGATAGCTCAGCCTTAGTTAATTCTTTGGTTTTGTTTTATTTTATTTTTTAGGCTAGATTTTTTACTAGATAGAGAATATTTCATTTTGGTGGGTGTGACTGTCTTTAAAATGTGGTAGTGCCTTTGGGCCAAAGGTTAATTGATTTTGTGATGAATATTCTTTAAAGTGGTACAGCAATGGTCTATCTACTATTCTGAAGTAACTTGGAGTTGCTGTGACGCTGAACACTTGTCATAGTTGTGTCAAACACCATAATGCTTAACCATCATGGGCAGTGTTTGGTGAAGCTTCCAGATTGATTCAGGCTTAGAAGAAGGAGTGGCATCCATGTCCTAAACCACATGCCTTCAGAAACTCTATGAACATAGAGAGAAACGATGATAAAGATATAAGTTCAGGTCTTTTTTCCATAAAGTTGCTATGAGTCATATTTGACTGGACTATAATTACCAAGAATAGATGAAAGGGAGACTGGAGGAAGCACTTCCACTCTGAAAGGTAGGCTGTCTTGTTTTGGTTCAGGGTCATGTGAAATGTCTGATTGTTTTTTATTTAAGCTTCATGTTTACAGTCAACACCACCTCCTGGAAGGCCTTTGTATTTAAAAGTCTGTTAGGCCCTTAGCCTAGTGTAATTATAATTTAAAGGAACATTCTTCTCAGTGGTGCAGCACTGTTCTGACAATTTGTGTACTGAGGCAACCTGGAGTGGTTATGATGCTGAACTTTGTGCCACTGGGGTGTCAAATATCATAATGTTACCCACGGTAGACAGTGTTTGGTGGAATTCCCAGATTAAGACAGGTTTGGAAGCAGGTGTGGCATCCATTTCCCAAACAACATGCCTCTAGAAACTCCATGAACTTTGAGAAATGACGACAGTTACAGAAAGACTTCAGGTCTTTTGTTCATCAGGTCTCTGAGTTGTCCTTGACTCAATGGTAAGAAACAGCAACAGAGAATATTTTACATGTTTGCTTCCTTTCTCTCTCATCTCCATTTCCCCTCAGCTACCAGTATCCTTTTTACTTCCCAAGAAAAGCTCAAGGATAGGAGGACCTCTTCTCCATCATGCATTTAAGTCCTTAACAAAAGCAAGGAAGAGATCAACAGGCTCTCTCTTGTCACCTTCTTGGCCCATGAAAACATTTTGATCCCACAATTAGGTAGTAGTTGGGTTTTTGAACATTTATGTTCTTCTTATTTCTACCTAGAATAGCTTCACACTCTTACTTTACTTACTAAAGACTACTTCTGTAACATTATCTTTAAGCTGTTCTCCTTCAGAAGGCCTTTTCTAGCACCTTAGGTCAATGTGGTCTTAGAATTAGGAAGCTCTGGTGGTGCAGACTGTAGAGAGTTGTGCTGAAAACCCCATGGAGGCCCCTTTCTGGGTGTCTGAGTCCACCAATAGCTCCACAAAAGGAAAACGAGCAATCTCTTTCTGCATGTTCAATTTACAACCTTTAAATTCGGCTGGAGTGTCCACTATGAATCAGAGTCTAAAAGAATGAGTTGCAACTTTGATGGATTTTTTTTTTTTAAGTCTTAGAATATTTTAATTCTTTCTTTTCTCTCTCTATACTACTCAGTTAGATGGATTGATACAGTGACTGTAACAATGGGTCTAAGCCTAGCAGTTGGGAGAATGACACAGACC